AGTATTGTTGTTGTTATGTGCTGTCGAGTTGGATCCAACTCATAGCGACCCCTCCTTGGGTTTCTGAGGCAGTATCACTACGGAAGTAGATTGCCTCATCTTCCTTCCGAGGAGTGGCTGGTGAGTTTGAATTGCCAGGCTTCTGGTTAGCAGTCAAGTGTCTTAGGCACTATGCTACCAGAGCTCCTTATGTAGTATTAGAAAAGAAAACAAATTTTTAAAAAATAATTCTATTATTTATAATACTAGTATTGTAACACCAAGAGCCTGTTGTGATCCAGTCAATTCTGAATTAACAATGGAAGGACCCCTGGTGGCACAGTGGTTAAAGCTCTTGGCTGGAGGTTGGAGGTTTGAACCTACCAGCTGTTAAGCAGGAGAAAGATGTGGCAGTCTGCTTCCATAAAGATTATAGCCTTGGAAACCCTATAATGCAGTTCTACTCCGTCCTGTAAGATCACTATGGGTTGGAATTGACTGACAGCAGTGGCTTTGGGTTTTTTTCTTTTAACCTTTATGAAAACAAATTGCCACACCTTTCTCTCTCAGAGTGGCTGGTGGATTCAACCTGCATCAGAATGCTTAAGCTTTGCACTACCAGGACTCCTTTTAATACTAAAACTAATGTGTTTAGTGAGAACAATTTTAGTTATAGAAAAGTTGATATACATTGTAACTGCTGAAACTTTTTTTTAAAGCAATGCCTTTGATTTATTGCAAGGTATAATGATTTTATTTTCTCTTAGAAGATTAAAATACCTATTACACACCCTATCCTTTTCCACTTTAGTTTATATCTGCCTGATTTGATGGTGCCAGAATTTTAACGTAATCACAATGTGGTTTTCAATTGAGTGTCTCTTTGTTTCCTATCAGTCAAAACTGTTGTTAACATTCTTCGGATTATTCCCTTAATTTGTTAGCAAGGTAGAATGGGTGTGGAGGGCTAATTTTCCTAACTGGAATTCTGTTTTGCTAGGGACAGTCACATCAAGTCAGAATAGGTAGTAATGTACAGGACTCCCACTCTCTCCCCTAAGTGAATACAAACTTTGATTATTGGATTACAAAGATTATTTTTAAGAAGGTTTATTTGTTTTGTTTTAGGAATGGGCTGGACACTTTGCAGGGAAAAATGGTTTTATGCACCAGAATGAACATTATAGGATTAACCACACTTACTCTTTTTAAAACATTTTGCTCAAATGTGTAATTGAAGAGGTCCTATTGAAATATCAGCAGTGTCAATTTGCATAGTTCATATAATAATTTTCTGTGAAGAATAATGTTTAAATAGCATGACTGGAAATGAATAAGGTGCTGGTATAATTTTTAGAGAAACTTGGCATAATTTATCATAAGTCTCTAAAATTTAGTTCTCTGGTCAGTTAAATGTAATCAGTCCTTAATATAAAATACAAATATTAATGCTGCTTACTTCCATCAGAATGACATTAAGTGCTCCAAAATGTTTAATTTTATAGTCTTACAGTTATGACACTGAAAATTTTTAATCACATGTATCTCTAAAATTAAGAAAATATAAAATTGGGACAAAATTTGGTATTTTAAATTAATAAATTATGCTGTCAAATTGTATTGGTGATTTTCTATCCATTGTCCTCAGATACTGCTTTTGCAAGGATTTGTGTAAAATTCAAAAAAATACTCAATGTTGAAAGCTGGTCATTGTTGAGATAATTATGAAATCATTACACTCATGTATAGTTTTTAATTAAAAATGTACAGTACAAAATCATTTCTATTATCATTTTTAAAGATCCAGCATTATTAGCCATGATCATTTAGCGCAGTATGTTAAGTATTTTGAATATGTGTGGAATTCTTATTATATGATGGAAATGAAATCCATATTTTATTGACACAGTTAAGTTTTGGGGGTATATTCGAAAAAAAAACCGTCTTGAAACATTTATGTTTTTGGAGTATGTTTGAAAGATCTTTCTGGCTTTTTATGTATTAGGTTATTTAAATGTTCAAAATGATTGTTACATAATGACCAAATTTACCTAGAAATTATTCATATTTAAATTGTGGTAGATTGGCATTATAGAATTAAAACTAAGTATATAGTGATTTGAAGTGAGGTACTCTTACCATCAAATCTTTTTTTTTTTTAATGAAGCCAT